GTTACAAGCCGTCCAATTCTTCAGCAATACCTTCAAGAGAGATTTGGAGAAGATTTGGATATTGCCGACGATCTCCATAAGGTTGGTAACCACTGTCTCTCTTGGTTTGGAGTCACCGAAAAAGACCAAAAGGTCCGTTGTAAGGTTTATAACAAACTTGTACAGATGTTGGAGAGTGCTGAAGTAAAAATGTCGTTGGGTTCAAGAATGGAGAATTTTGTTATGGATGTGGATAAGGACCTACATAAGAGACTTCGAAAGGCGAAGAAAACAGGTCTAACAAGACTTGAAATTACCTTTTATGGACAGGAGATATATACATTCTCCTATTATAAAGGAGTCTTGGATGCCATAAAGGAAGAGATCCAAGAATGTCCCACGTTCTGCGTAAAATACAAGGCATATTGGAAGTACATAGTTGGCAATATATCATCCATGGTAGGTATTCATGTAACAATGGGTGAAAAATCGGCATTCGCATATTGCCATTGGTGGAACTCTGTTACAGGTAAGAAGTATGGTTCATATCGTAACAATGTCGAGAAAGAGGAAGCAATGACGTTGTTAGCCAACTATAGCTTCAACGATAGACCAATATACTTTTTGGAGGTTGAGATGGATGAGAATAGCATCAAGGATATTACAGTTACCAAGTACAAACGGCCTGACGAATGTACAGCAATAACACTTGTTGCAGGAGCACATAAAGGCATGTACCCATACATTTACGATGATGATGTTTTACAATTCGAGGATATGGGTATAGTGGAGGTAGATAATGTAAAGATCCAATGGCCTGAGAGAAGAATCCGCAAAGGTGCACCACCAATTGTTGATATTCATCTAGAAAACATGAATGGTGAGAATTTTATACAAGTCCATGATAGAGCTATCCACAAAGCAACATATAAAGCTGGATATAATGTACTTGAAATAAATACCAGCTATACAGTCATAGCAATTGCAATGGATATGTATCACAACAAAGAGTATATTTTTGCAACATTGTCCAATGGTATTAAAGTACGATGTGGACTTAGTTTAGAAACAAAGATCGTTGCATGGCTGGAAGAATATCCCGATGGCCAAGTTCCGTATATGAATTTCACCACATTGCAATGCAGAACTGTTCGCGGGTTCAAGGATATTTATATACGTTAAGAATGCTAATAGATAGTTTTTAAAAATTACAATGGGCTTACTTTGTACGCTTATATGATGGAATCTCCACTCCTGCAAAAATTTCACGTCGCTTATTAGTCGGCTCTTCCCGTTGTTTATCCTCGACATCCATAGTAGTCATCTCCAAGAACTGCTCTTGTAACTTTGTTATATCTCGTGCATCATGCAACATCTCATCCACTGGAATATAATCCAAGATTTGTTCCATTGCACCATTGGCATATGGAAAGTCGAAGCCATCTCTAATCCAGGCACTATGAATGGGTTCCAGATTTAACTGCAGTAGTGCCACCATCTTCTTGATGTTCATAAGCAAGAGACACAATCGCAATTGCAAATTATATGTTTCTATCTTGGTTACCAACACTGGTTTCCTATTGTTGTGCTTCTCAAAGGTTGCTCCAAGATCTCCAAATTCGGCTTCTATCTGAGAGCGGAAACTGCCGAAAATCTTATTGTAGTTAGTTTCATCTTGTGCAAGATCTTTCCCACGGCTTTTGCGAATTGGATAACAAAAGTTTTTCTTGCTCATGCTTGTTTCTTCTACTATTTTCTTAATGTATTGTGTGTACCCTCCATCCAATGCAATACAATCTAGCTCGTGGATGTGCTTATGTATCTTCATACCAACCAACATAGTACCATCGTTGTTATCCTTGCAAGGTAGCGATTTAGAGACTAGTATTGCCATGCCATTGCAATCGACACACACTTGCGTTCTTACACCAGATTTCTTCAGCTTGTAAGAGTACATATCTGAGCTAGACTTTTCTTCACATGAAAGACGTGTATCATGACCATCCAAATGCAATGTTACATGTGGGAATAGTGGTGGATTCCTGAGTTTAGCAGAAATCAAGCGTATAGGAAATGTGGAGAACATATTCGCAAGTGCATGGTTAATATGCTTCGAATGCACATTATAGTTAGTCTTGTAGAACTCTGTATGAATGGAGTGGAAACTACTTTTTGGTATGTGGGTTGACATTCCATCCATTGCCAAGCCTGCAACTAAGTGGTACAATATCAACAATCCTTTGTCGACTTCTCTGTATGGACCTGGATACTGCTTGAGAGACCAAATAACTACAAGAAAGTAGAATACAGGAATTGCACCTAATCTTCTTATAAGTAAGTCTTTAACAGTTTTCATGTGTGCTACTAGCTTCAACGCAGTCCTATGATTATTGGATGGTTCTTGCGTAGGCCATTCTGCATCCAAAAAAGTCCATTCATCCTCTAACAACCGTTGAAATAGGCGCTTTAAGTTTGCCATGACTGTAATTACAACCTGGTAAACTATTAGCAAAAATTCCTTTATATAACACACTTTTGGATTTTTTAAAACTATTAACGATAAACACGATAGGGGAACAAGCCCCTCAGCCAGATGTCAAAGAACTTCATCATGGCGGTTTTACGACAACTTTTTTGTAACCACCAATTTTCTTTCCACCACCAAATTATACAAACGATATTTTATGGACATTTCCTAAGTCTACATAACTTTTTTTTATACAACTTCTTTTTTCTATCTTATTATCATACAAAATGCGATAGAAATGTTACAATGTTAATACCCATTTGCATCACGAAATATGGGATACGTTTTAAGAAACGTCTATTTTTAACGACATAGTTGCTCTTTAAACAACACATTTTCTCTACCTTATTATCACACAAAATGCAATAGAAATGTCACAATGTTCATACCCATTTGCATCACGAAATATGTGATACGTTTTAAGAAACGTCTATTTTAAACGACATAACTATTCTGTTAACAACTTCTTTTTTCTATCTTGTTATCACACAAAATGCGATAGAAATGTCACAATGTTCATACCCATTTGCATCACGAAATATGTGATACGTTTTAAGAAACGTCTATTTTAAACGACATAACTATTCTGTTAACAACTTCTTTTTTCTATCTTGTTATCACACAAAATGCGATAGAAATGTCACAATGTTCATACCCATTTGCATCACGAAATATGTGATACGTTTTAAGAAACGTCCATTTTAAACGACATAATTACTCTGTTAACAACACATTTTTTCTGTCTTGTTATCATACAAAATGCGATAGAAACGCCACAATATTCATACCCATTTGCATCACGAAATATGTAATGTGTTTTAAGAAACGTCTATTTTTAACGACATAATTGCTCTGTTAACAACACATTTTTTCTATCTTGTTATCACACAAAATGCGATAGAAATGTCACAATGTTCATACCCATTTGCATCACGAAATATGTGATACGTTTTAAGAAACGTCTATTTTAAACGACATAATTACTCTGTTAACAATACATTTTTCTGTCTTGTTATTATACAAAATGCGATAGAAATGTTACAATGTTCATACCCATTTGCATCACGAAATATATGATGTGTTTTAAGAAACGTCTATTTTTAACGACATAATTACTCTATTAACAACACATTTTTTCTATCTTGTTATCACACAAAATGCAATAGAAACGTTGTAATATAATAGCCATTTGCATTATAAAATATGTGATGTGTTTTAAGAAACGTCTATTTTAAACGATATAATTGTTATATCTACAACTACCCACAATGCATGGTCTAATTGCGATATCTCTGTTTTTACCATTGTCGTAATTACCTACAATCTGTATAACAATAAATGCTATAACAATTGTAAGTTAACCAAAGTGTAATAATATTAAACGTCGTGCAAATCGTGGGCTTACCTAAAGTATGTCAACATTAAACATTGTAATACTTACGAGTTTATCAAGAATGTATTAAAATTAAACATCACGATAATCACGAGGTCATCCAAAATGCGTTCATATCAAATATCATAACTATGGTAATAACTACAGTTTGTCAGCTGTCGAATCGAATGCCAAATGTCAAATGTCGAATGTCGAATATTGTTGAGAAAGTGTAGCAATAACGCCATTAAAAACGTATCAGCTACCCTTTCTTTCCAACAACCAATGTTTGTTAAAGCCACTATGCTACTTTTAAAAAAATCGTGATCCAACTTTTTTTTAAAACTACCACTACATCATCACCAGTATCACGAGTGCTATATTGGATATACACATAGGATATATCATGAAAAGGAGATATTAGTAACCATCGCTAATTATATAAACACGAAAACAAATGCTCTACTAGGAGGCCATCCATGTTCGGCTCCACCAACCATAGACTACAGTATAAAAATATCTGTCAACACCTATTAAAACAGTGTGTTCCTTGAGAGTACAACAAATCTCATCAGCTTTTTCCTTCCACCAGTCTCCATTTTCTACATTCACCACCACTACTTTGTAACATCATCTACTTTAGCTGAGAAAGCCTTGGACATGATCATCTCATATTGGAAAGGAAATTACTATCTGTAATATCAAGGATCCAATATGAGATGATCATGTCCAAGGCTTTCTCAGCTAAAGTAGATGATGTTACAAAGTAGTGGTGGTGAATGTAGAAAATGGAGACTGGTGGAAGGAAAAAGCTGATGAGATTTGTTGTACTCTCAAGGAACACACTGTTTTAATAGGTGTTGACAGATATTTTTATACTGTAGTCTATGGTTGGTGGAGCCGAACATGGATGGCCTCCGTAGACAATGTTTACATCCCGCATACCTTTACTTACTGAATACCCCCCTGTTTGCGGTCTGTGCGCACGTATGTCAAAAAGTGGTTCGTGGGTTCTCACGAGTTGGTGAAATAGACGGTGACGTCACTGCTCATATAAACGATATTTTTATTCACAACAGAAGTAGGGCACACTTGCTTTTCGAAACAGTGTGATTAGACTGCTCAGCACAAAGCGAAGGCTTGGCTTTCCAACATACAAGTCCTGCTATAGATGGGGTTGCCCTGGAATCCAGAGATATCGGGAGCATCACAGACCTCGTAGATAGCGTTTCCTGCTTTTGCCAAGTAGTCCATTGTAACGCTCTGACCGGGCGAGGGCTGGGTGGAAATAGCACAGGTTCCGACCGATATGACCGCATGAGAGCCTTCGACAGGCGCTGGTGTTAGTTTCCCAACGTTCTGGTTGATCAACTGGAGGCAGTCCCCGAGAGCGGCTGGAGGGAAACCTCCGCAAACAACATCCTGAGCCACGATCGACACAGGGAGGATGAGCAGCAACATGCAGGTCTTCATTGCAGTAGTCGGTAGTGATGGCTGATGTGAGAATAGGATAAGGGTGTTGCAAGGTCTGCTGTGGCTGGTGAGGTAAATGTGCTGGGTTCGGTTCTTTCTGTGCTTGAGAGGATGGTTGTGTGTCTGATTCGGACAAAAGTTCGACACTTTTATAGCCATAGTCAGATAAAAATGGTCAAGGGATAAAAAGAACAAAGAAAAGAGAGACACGCACAATTCAAGGGCACACTGGGAAAAAGCATGCCGAAAAATACCGAGGGCATACAAAGAAAAAAAAAGAGAGTACACTAAGAAAAATGCCAAAAAAAATCAAAGAGGAGGGATACAATGACAAAATGGGAAGAATGGCCAAAAGATCGAGGGGATGCAGAGGAAAGAAAGGATGGACCGTCAAAAATAAGCACACAATGAGAACAGGAGGGACACCGAAAGTTGAAGGGATAGTTGATAATAAAAGCCAGGACAAAAACTAGGGCATGTTGAGAATAGGAGGACAGCGAAAACCCAAGGGATACTGCCAAAAGGATCAAGGGATGGAAAAGATCAAAGAATGGAAAAAAAATCAAGGGATGGAAGAAGATCAAGGGATGGGAAAGATCAAGGGATGCTGGAAAATGAGCAAGGACACTTATTGAAAGGAGGAATGTAATAGCAACAGAAGAAGGGTGATAGACAAGAGCAGGAGGCAGAAACGGATGGTGTTTATTGTACAGGGGAGCCAGGGTATTTATGTGTGCTAGGCTATGGGCTCCAGGATGGTGGTGATGTGGTGAGGTGGTGATGTCGTTAGATGGGGATGTAATTAGGTGATAATGTGGTTAGATGAGACAGTGGTTAGATGACGCTAATGATCTAGGGTCACAACAGATTATGATACTGTGACAAGGAACCACACCAAGGGACAACACCAAAGGACAAAACCAAATGGACAACACCAAGCAACTACACCAATGGGCAACGATATCAAGGCATAAAAATCAAGGGACAGCATCAAGGGGCAGCACCAATGGACAATGTCAAAAATAGCATCAAGGGACAACATTCAAGGGATAATGAATGGGAAAATCAAGGGATGCTGGTAAGACAAAGGTGTGCCAAACGTCACGTGATAGTGGAGCCTTAGCTTGGTTGGAATAGGAAATTTTCTTCGACGCAACACCTACCAACCTTCTTCGGGATCCGAAACACGCTACTTGGAGGGTGATGTCACGAGACAAGAGCTTGCTCTTGTGACTTCGCCCTAACGAGTATAAAAGGGCCTTAGATAGCAAATCTATAGCTCTTTACTTGGTATCGCCAATACAACATACTCTTTAACCTATTCCTTATACTCATTTCTTAGTCCTTGATCAAGGTTCTCTTTATCTACTTCATTCTATTGCTTGGTCTGCTTTCTTGACAATACCAAGTCATACACCTAAAGAACCTTGGATCAAACTTTGTCTGTTTTCTATTGATATACTTCAGCGCTCAAAAAAAAAAAAAAAAAAAAAAAAAAAAAAAAGCCTTTTCCACAACAAAACCAAACCCTACCTTCTTCAAGTTCTTTCCTCTTTTACTACCATCTTCCGTACACAACCCACAACCCTCAGAAACTACAACAACTCTTCACTTTCCGTATCAACTACAATGCTACCCGATAGTGAGATCCTTACAGCCAACGCGCGCTTCCAAGCACTGATGGACCGAGTAGCCACACTTGAACAAATAGTTCAGACGGTCACTCCCTTGCAAGCCAAAGTCACCGAACTCGAGGAGACTGTTCAGAAGTACCGTGATATGCTGGACTTCATTCTTTCGAACGAAGATTTCTTCACAAGCCTGACCGTCAACCTCAACCCTCGATTACTCAGCCTCGAATCCAACGTCCAGAAGATGACGTCACAATTACCACCCATCACTCGCGCAGAACTAGGCAAACTATTTTATGATCACAAGACCGATGTCACCAACACAGTGAGTGCCATCTTCCAATCAACTACACCTCACTCCAGCAATAGCTCCCCTTCGAGGCCAAAAGTAGCACCCCCCGCAGTCTTCTCCGGCAAGCGTGAAGATTGGAAAGGGTTTCAGGCTCAGCTGGAACTCTTCTTCGTTGCAAACGAGACCCTCTATCCGAACGACCACGACCGCATTGTGCTGGCTATCTCGCGCCTCGGTGATACTGCAGCGTTCAAGTACATGCAGAGATACGTTCCGTCCTTCAAGTTGCCTGTCGAGGAGAGACCCGCATGTATTTCTAACCTGGATCAGTTCTTTGCTCTTATGAGTAAGAACTTTGGAGTCTCCAATGCTCACGTCCTAGCAGAAACCCAACTCCGTCAACTTAGACAGCGCGGTTCTGCCATCGACTATACAAACCGTTTCGTCAACCTTGCAGCGGATACAGCATGGAATGATAGCGCAATGATTTCACAGTTCCGCCTCGGCCTGAAGGAGTCTGTTCAAGAAGCCATGGCAAACTACCCCGAGCCACCTACCTTTGCCGAGTTTTCACAATTGGCTATCGACATCGACAACCGACAGTACGGCTATGCAGTGACCCGTTCCGGCAACAAATCTTCCAGCACTCCGTCCCGTTCCACCACTGCCCACACTTCTACTACCACTCAAGCCTCATCCACCCCAACTACCGCGTCCACCCCTGCTACCTCAGCTCCCGCGACCACTTCGATGGACATGGATCTCTCGCATGCTCGCCATGGTCCTTTGCCACCGTCTGAGCGTCTTCGTCGTCAAAAGGAAGGACTGTGCACCTACTGTGGTTCAGCAGATCATTGGCTTGACGACTGCCCCAAGAAACCTGCAAAGCCCTCGTTCAAGAACGCCCCAAAGGCAACAGCCTCGATCTCGGCCCTTCAGCCTACACAGACTAGCGACCAGCCCGATGCAATCTCTTTCCAATTGGAAAAAGATTCAGCCTAGACAGTAAAGTTGGAGTGTGTCTGGGCGAGCTGTATAACAAATCTCCAAATGATCCTCTGCTATCCCCTATTACTATTCCAATTACTCTTCACTTCCAAAACTCCTCACTACCAGTCCATGCAATGATCGACTCAGGAGCAACCATCTCATTCATTCATCAAAATCTAGCACAACAGCACAATCTTCCACTAGCACAACACTTATTACAAATCTCTCTTGCCAATGGTTCAACACATACCTCTCATCACGCCACCACATTGGTTATGCAATCCCACTCACAACACTTTTCCACACACACTTTTCAACTCATTGCACTTGGCAATTATGCCATTATTCTTGGCATGGACTGGCTCCGCTCACACAACCCATATATCGACTGGGAGAAACGAACCATTACTATGCCATGCCTCCATCAGCACACACTCGACAAGCTTTCCCCCCTTGCACAATCAACAATGCCTCGATCCATCCCTTCCTTCCAAGAACAAGACCGAATCCTTCTGCCACCTTCCAAACCCAAATCCACTTTGGTTCCCACCAAGTACACCTCAGGATCCAACCAACTATCCAAATCCGCCAAGAACCGATCAGCAACCAACATCTCCATTATTAGCAATACACAACTCCGTCAGATCCTCAAGACCAATCAAGGAGTCGGATACATGCTCGACGTCTCCCGAATCGAAGAACTCGCCAGCGCAACCACCAACGACAACTCTATCCCTGAATCAAAACCCACAGTCCAACTGCCCGAGAAATATGCCGAGTATGCTCAGGTATTCTCCAAGATCCAAGCCGACAAGCTACCGCCACATCGACCCTATGATCACAATATCCCTGTGGTCGAAGGAGCCACCGTGCCATTTGGACCAGTATACAACCTATCACAAACAGAACTGCAAGTTCTACACGAATATATTCAAGAAAACCTTGCAAAAGGGTTCATCCGTCGATCCGAGTCTCCAGCTGGCACCCCCGTCCTTTTTGTTAAAAAGAAAGACGGTTCTCTCTGCCTCTGTGTCGACTATCGAGGCCTCAACAAGGTGACTGTCCCCAATCGATGCCCTCTGCCACTGATCTCCGAAACTTTCGACCGACTAGGCAAAGCCAAGTATTTCACCAAGCTCGACATGCGAGGAGCATACAATCTTCTCCGCATCAAGGAGGGCGACGAATGGAAGACTGCATTCCGCTGCCGCTATGGCCACTTCGAGTATACAGTCATGCCCTTCGGACTAATGAACGCTCCCGGAACTTTCCAAGCTTTCGCCAACGACGTCCTCCGCGATTACCTAGATGACTTTGTCGTGCTATACATTGACGACATTCTCATCTACTCCGACACCCTTGAGGAACATACCGCGCATGTCCGCAAAGTTCTCAGCAAGCTCCAAGACGCTGGTCTATGCTTAAAACTCGAGAAATGCTCGTTCGACAAGGACAAAGTCGAATTCCTCGGCTTTGTGATCGGAACTGACGGTATTTCTATGGACCCCGCCAAGGTTGCCGCCATTCGCGATTGGCCCACTCCCTCTTCCGTTTCGGATGTCCAGTGCTTTCTGGGTTTCTCCAACTTCTACCGTCGTTTTGTACGGAAATACTCCCATATCGCCGCGCCTCTCACCGCGTTACTCAAGAAAAATACTAACTTTGTCTGGACCGCTATCGCACAAGCCGCTTTCACGGAGCTCAAGTCACGCTTCATGTCTGGCCCCGTCCTTCGGCATTTCCAACCAGATCGCCCCTGCATCATTGAAACTGACGCTTCTGACAAGGCCCTCGGCGCTGTCTGCAGTCAGCGTGACCAAGATGGACGCCTACATCCTATCGCTTACTACTCCCGAAAACTATTGCCTGCTGAACTCAACTATCAGATCTACGACAAAGAACTCCTTGCCATTGTGTCTGCCTTTAAACATTGGCGACACTACCTGGAATTCTCGCCCGCTACCACGGAAGTCATCACCGACCACAGAAATCTTGAGTACTTTACCACCACGCGCCAATTGAGCCGCCGTCAAGTCCGCTGGTCTGAAATCTTGTCTGACTACAACTTTACCATCCATTACCGCCCTGGCTCCCAGAATGCCGCTGCCGATGCTTTGTCCCGGCGGGACAACCCTGGAGAGGGAGGTGCGGCCCAGCACGGCAAGACCGAGATGACCCTCCTACCGCCGATCCAGATTCTGAACACCATCCAGGCCCGGTCACTGCAACCAGAGACGCCAGCGATCCAGGAAAAAATCAAGACACTAATCCCCGATGATCTATACTTTGGTCCAATACTCGCCAAGACCGCAAAGTCGAACTCGGACAATGCCCAGTACTCAATTCAAGATGGGCTACTCCTGCGGGATGGCCTTGTCTGCGTCCCCGACGATCCCGAACTCAAGAAACAAATCCTTCAAGAATGTCACGACGCCCCAACCGCCGGTCATTTTGGAATCACCAAGACCTCAGACCTTGTCAGTCGAACCTTTTACTGGCCTTCCATGTGGCGTTACATCAAGGATTACATCAACGGTTGTGACACCTGCCAACGGACAAAGTCATCCACTCACAAGCCTTATGGACTTTTACAACCCCTGCCTGTACCCGATCGCCCCTGGACCTCAGTATCGATGGATTTCATCACCCAACTCCCGCCCTCAAACGGCTATACGGCAATCTGTGTTTTTGTGGACCGATTCACCAAGATGGCACACTTTGTCCCCACCTACGACAACATCAATGCACAGGATACGGTCCGTTTGTTCCTAGAACGCGTATTTTCAGCCCACGGTCTCCCGGATGACATTGTTTCTGACAGAGGCACCACCTTCACTTCAGCCTTCGTTTCCACCATGTTCAAGTCTCTGGGGATCAATCAGAAGCTTTCTACCGCCTACCACCAACGCACCGATGGACAGACCGAGAGAGTAAATTCAATACTGGAACAGTACCTACGAGGGTATATCGACTATCAGCAAACGGACTGGAGCACCCTTCTACCGATAGCAGAATTTGCATACAACAATGCAACACACTCAACAACAAAAACAACACCATTCTTTGCCAACCTCGGCTACCATCCGAAATTCACCATCACCATCCCAAGAGTCTCGAAGGACAATGTCCCAGCCCAGGAACGCGTCCAGGCCCTAAAGAACCTCTATGCGGAGATGCAACTCAATATCCACACCGCCATTGAACAGCATGCCAGGAACTTCGACACCAAGGCCCAACCACAACCCAATCTGCAAGTAGGAGATCTTGTATGGCTAGACGCCCGGAACCTCCAAACGAACAGACCATGCAAGAAGCTCGACCATAAGCGCATGGGCCCTTACCGTATTCTCGAAAAAATCGGCACTCGATCCTTCCGTCTCGATTTACCACCAACGACCAAGCTACATCCTGTCTTTCATGTAAACTTACTTGAGCGTGCGCATCCAGATACGATCCCCGGTCGAGCCCCAAAACGACCTCCTCCGCTTGTCGTCTCCGGCGATGAGGAGTACGAGGTTGAGGCCATTTTGGATTCACGGATCAGGCGCAACCACCTTGAATACTATATACATTGGAGAGGCTACCCCGTATCCGAACGAACCTGGGAACCGGCCGCCTGTGTCAAGAATTCCCCGGACCTTGTTCGCGAGTTCCATCTGCAACACCCTCACAAACCCAGCCAAAGGCCTCTTGGAACTCGGCCCTAGAGGGGGAGGTTGTCACGAGACAAGAGCTTGCTCTTGTGACTTCGCCCTAACAAGTATAAAAGGGCCTTAGATAGCAAATCTATAGCTCTTTACTTGGTATCGCCAATACAACATACGCTTTAACCTATTCCTTTTACTCATTTCTTAGTCCTTGATCAAGGTTCTCTTTATCTACTTCATTCTATTGCTTGGTCTGCTTTCTTGACAGGTCTGGCCGCGGCCTCGGCCCCGTCCGCCGCGACCCCCGCGAAAACCCTGTGGGGGTTGCTGTCCAAATCCGCTGAAATCGCCGAATCCTTGGGGTTGGAAGGCGATGGGCGGTTGTTGTTGATAATGCGCTGGTTGTTGATACGGCGCAGCATAGGGCTGTTGCTGTTGCTGATAGTACTGTGGCTGTTGCTGGTACTGTGGCTGTTGTTGATATTGACCGAAAAAGCGCCCGCCGCCGCCACGGCCACGACCACCTCTGTGGCCTCTGCCTCCTCCTTGTGCCCCTCCTTGGGTATTGTTGTTCTTGGGTGGCTGAGCTTTGGCGTATTCCTCTGCGGCTTGAATATCAGCATTGATTGTGTCCTTGGAGATGGTGACGCCCTTTTTCTTCTCTGGTGCTGGCTGCAATCCTTTGGCGCGAAGGAAATTTTCGTGGCGTAACTGTTGAATGTCTCTGGCAATGAGAGCCTGCTGGGAGCGTACAATGTGCAGAAACTCTGCCACATCCTTTCGTACAGTGACGTCAGTGCCTCTGGTAATAAACTCCGCTGCGAATTCGTCAATAGGCCGGGTGGAGTCGGTAATCCGTTCCAGAATCCTGCAGAAGGCCCGTTCAAAGTGATAATGGGAGCCTTGTTGATTGGCAGGCCAGGGAAGATCCCAACCTGGTGCTGAGTATTGTTGCAGCGGGTTCTTGGCGCAGTAAAGTTCTGCGGTGTAAACATGATCCAGCTTGGGGTCATCAGGTGCTGCGAAGAAGTCGTTTCCTGATAACGAAGGGGCAAGTTGAAGGAGTTCGTCCGTGACGACCAGTTGTTGAATCCTGGGCGGATCAATGGTTGTTGGAGGGTGGATAGGTGATGAATTGTCATATGAAGAGTGGGTGGCCTCCTCGGAAGCCATGTCGTGAGAGGGGGTGAAATCATTGTCGGTGTGAATGTCGCTCATGGGATACGCCTGCTACGGATGTGTTCCTGTGAGCGACGAAAAAGGAGAGAAGGAACATTTTGTACCGAGGGATCCAGGGCTTTTATTATTTTTAGTTAGTTTTCGTCGGTTAAAAAGGAATAAAAGAAGTCACACATATGGACATGGCACCGTAGACAATGCCAAAAAAAGATCAAGGGACGTTGGAGGGGACTCGCAGTATCACGTGATCGTGAAGCAATGCTTGGAAATGTATTGATACACGACACATACCTGTCAATCTCCTTCCGTTGACTCGCCAAGCGTTCATAGCGACGTTGCTTTTTGATCCTTCGATGTCGGCTCTTCCTATATGTCAAAGAAAAATGAATCAAGTCAGTTGTCCTCACTTGGGCAAGATGAGAGAGGACGGCAAAGATAAAAGGATGCAGAAAAAAAGAAAGGAGTCATGCCAAAGAGAAAGAGCAGAGCGTGACTTCAGAAAAAGAAAGGGATCAAAGATGTCAAAAAAAGAAGGGGGATCAAGGGCAGAAAGGACTTCAAAGAAAAAGGAGGATCAGAGTAGAGAAGGGTATGGTGACTTCAAAAAAAGAAGGGAGGATCTAGGGCAAAGAGAGAGGGCAGAGAGAGACTTGAAAAAGAAGGGAGAATTAAGGGCAGAGAGACAAACTTGAAAAAAAGAACGGAGGATCTAGGGCAAAGAGAGAGGGCAGAGAGAGACTTGAAAAAGAAGAGAGAATCAAGGGCAGAGAGAGAAGGCAGAGACAAAACTTGAAAAAAGAACGAAGGATCTAGGGCAAAGAGAGAGGGCAGAGACAAACTTGAAAAAAGAAGGGAGGATCAAGCGTAGAGAAGGATTCCAGAAGGGGATCAAGGGAAGAAGAAATAGGTATTCACAAAACGGGAAGAGGCGGGTGTTGTGGGGCGGAAAGGCTTCATGAGGCTCCTGCTAATGTTAATTTCAAATATTGGAAGAGATAAATCAATTGCAGACGACTTTTAAGCAACGTGGTATTGTAAGCAGTAGAGACGCTCTGTTGCGTCGATCTGCTGAGATTAAGCCATATGCGGCCCCTTCATGTGCAGAGGATATAAAAAGGCATATAAAAAATATCCAAAGCCCAAGGAACGGAGTGTTTACTTCCATAACTGACATATCTCTTCATAGTGGGCAACAGAACACAGAATAAAATAGCAATAGACAGCACATGTTTTTTTAAAATGTAATCTCTCCCCTGTATTTCGCCCCAAAGATACAGTTGAGAGTACAAGTGCTTTAGATGGTGACATACAAGAACTACTCTGGCGAATCTTGCAGTGAGGGTTACAGGTTAATAGTAGATGGACATATTCAAGAGTGTGGTGTGCGAAAAATAAGAAGACTTTGTTGTTTGGAGAATAGGTTGGTGTTTAGTAGGATAGTTAAACAAAAAATGTTACAATGGTTGTCTTATATGCTTGGTATCATATATACATTCTCATCCCATAGTCGCTATGGATATTGTCGAGATCTACAGAGATGTAACAAACACCATATGATAACTTGGACGTGAAAGGCCTCCTATGTTGTAAAGATTTGTTCCAACAGGAACTCATCCCTCCTTATCTTTTTCTTTCTTTAAATTAGTTTTAAGGGCATTTCAACATTATTTTCAAATGGACTTCGCTAACACAATGCCCATCGTCAAATCCGAGATAAGGCGCTAAAGTCAGAATACTTGGGTGTAAGAAAGGAAGGAAAGAAAATGGAGAATCGTCTTTTTTCATGTTTGAGAAAAGAAAGTGATAAACACCATAGCCTTCCATTTGTATATGGGATGACAAATCAAAAAAGATTTTATTTGAAATAAAAATTGGGAACAAATAACACTTCAAAACCCAACTTCGAAACCCTGTAATGGGCACTCATCTACCTTACCCACAAGGTTAACTTCGGCCACTAGAATTTGTACACATCACACGGTTGTCTCCCCTCAGAGATGGTGAACGCCTTTCTCATCAACACGGATCTCACTGCCTCCTGTTGCAGAGTTTTCACCCCAACCGTTGCGAAAGCCACCTTCTCAACCGGGCGTTCAGTGACCGCTTGCTGCGTGATAGTTACCACCGCTTGCTCCGTGACAGTTCCCGCCGTGGCCATTGGTGGAGCCGCCTGCATAGGCTGAGCTGGATGCTCAGTGATTTCTTGGTCCGTCACTACAAATGCATCACGGGTCCATTGGAGATAGGCGTAAGGCATATAGTAGTAACCGTTATCGCCACTCTCCGGGCCCCAGGAGTTCTTGAATTTGATAAGTTCGGTGGCGTCATCGTAACCAACGAACAGTACAGCATGTCCAGCGGTTCTTGCCGGAATGGGTACTGGCGGCATCTTCATTCTCCCGGGCTGCTCTGCGTCCCCATAGAGGTATTGTTGTCTGTATTCACGGTCGCCAAAGATGTCAAAGGCGACAATAACGGGCAATCCTGCTGCCAGCACTCGCTTGTAGTCGTCCAATGTATTGCCAGGTAGTCTGGCCGCAGTTGTGACTTTCATCCTGAGGGCTTCGGCGAATGCCTCTTGGCCAGGAGCATCCAGCGGGCTGGGGTCATATGGGCATGTGTGTTCCCAACAGCTGCCCAGCTGCTGTGCGACAGCGATAGCGGCAGGGATTCTGGTGCCAACATTAAGGACTCCAGCGGCCTCCCCTGCAGTCTTGAGTTTGGAGTTGTACCAGATGAAGCGTTCGGATTCATCTTGCACGAGGCCTACGACATTGGGGATTATATCCAAGACATTGCAGACCGCGAAGCTGACACACGAGCTGTGTGGCCCTTGGTTCTTGACCGGGCTCATCATGTCCGACAGGTCGACCCTGGCTGGGAGTGGGGGTGGGGCGTCATCCGGTGCTCCGTCAAGAATAAAAGCTGCATAGGCGTTGTACTCTTCAGGGTCTGTGGGTTCGCAGCCGAAGCCGTAGTCAAAGACATCTGTCATTTTGAGGGAGTAGAGTGGTAGTGCGATAAAAGTTTTTGTAAAAATTGTGTGATGACGAAAAAAAAAAATGGGAGAGAGAGCTTTAAATAACAATCGAGGATGGAATTCCTGACACTGAACTCTAACAGCCTTGTGAGATCTTTAGGAAAAAATATGAACAAATGATCACTTCACAACTCATCCTTATTGTGATGTTGTATGCAACATGCTGTCTTGCCTTGCTAGCGCATGTCGCGCATTCTTTCGCTACCCATGCCCTCGCACGCTCCCATGCCCTTTTTCTTGTTCATGCGCTATGCATCATTTTTCCTTTCGTTACCCACGCCTTTGCACGTTCCTCTGCCCCTTTTCTTAACATACGTTATGCATGAATTTTTTATTTTTTATGGTATTTTTTGGCTAGGCACCCACGCCAATGCACGTTCCTATACTCCTTTTCTTCGTTCATGTGCTGTGCATACCTTTTTCCTTCTTTCGCTGCTCACGCCCTTGCACGTTCCCATGCCTCTTCTTTTTTCATGCGCTGTGCATACAGTCCTTTCCTTTGCGCTAATCACGCCTTTGCACGTTCCCATGCCACTTTTCTTCATTCATGCGCTGTGCATGCAATGTTTGTTTTTATTGGTTACCCACGCTGTGGCACGTTCCCCTTTGTCAATCATTGTCTATGAATTTTGGTCTTTTCAGTTCTCATGCCTTTGCACGTTCCTCTGCCCTTTTTTCCATTCATGCGCTGTGCATACAATGTTTATTTTTCTTTTGGTTACCCACGCCCTTGCACGTTCTGCGATAAAATAAGGTTTAGACTCACTTTGTAAGTAACGAGACAAGAAGAAGGTTGTATTAGGGCCCACCAGGAACGATCTCTTATGTCGTTCCTGGTGGCTTAGTTCTAGCTAGTTCATGTCTTCATCTATCTATGATCCACAAGGCAAATACGCAACAACTCCCTCCCAAGGGAAGGCTGAAAGCCGCCCTGAGAAGAAAGGAACGCGTGGGTGCTTTGTGGTGTGTGGTGTTTGGGAAAAAAAGAAAACCCAAAGGAAAATAAAAATAAAAAAGAAAATAAAAATACACTGATCTGCAAAGGAAAACAAAAGAAACCTTGTCAGTCGTGTTGAGGGTCAATAAACCTCTCATGACATATAGTACATATCACTCGAGGCAAAAAAGCAAAATCCTCGTGAGGGGAAACCCAAAGGGAAAACCTCATGCGTGATTATAAGGGGAAAGCTGAAAAAAAACCCCTTCTCTCCATTCACTCCATCTTGTGGTGATGAGGATTACTTTCGACCACGCTTGCGCGTGCGAGTAGTCCTTTTCTCCGTGCTACTCTTTTCGACAGTCTCCTTAATTAAGCGCTTGCGCTTGCGGGGTTCTGATTGCACTGCTATCTGTGCACTATCATTTGGGCTGCCATGCTTGCGCGTGCCCCCACTTATCTCATCACTGATCGTATCATTCATTGGCTTATCTTTCGATCGATCTTTAGCCTTCCGTTGCTTTGAAGCTGACTCCTGCTCTTCGCTCCTTGACTCATGTGTCTTCAACGTTTGACGAGGCTGCGGTAGAGATTGTGTAATTGGTTGATCGCGGGTCTTCCAATAGTCTGTGATACACTTTCTCTCAACAAAGTTCTTTTGAGGCTCCCAAGTTCGTTCCTTGTATCCTTTCCAACTTACGTAGTACTCTACTCCCTCCCCAGGAACATCCCTATGGTCGAGAATTTTTTCCACTTCGTAAGTTTCTGTTTCCTCAAAGTCGTCCAGTACCAGCTTTAGCTGTGATGGTGCGAAATTGCGCCCCAGTAATTCTCCTGTCCCATCTTTGAGAGCATAAGAACCACCAGTGGTGCGGCGGACAACAGTGTAGGGGCCCTCGTAACGAGGCGATAGCTTGTCACCCCTAATAGGATCCAAAGACATTACTTTTGCTCCATCTGGGAACTCATTGTGCAGTACCGTTCTGTTAAAACGCTCAATCATTCGCTGTTGAGTGTCACGTGTCTTGGTTTGAATTGCTGGGAAAACAACCTTGGTCATGTATTCAAGGCGTTCTAAGAGCACTTCATGAGAAGGAATAACACCCTTTTCATCCGAGAGATTACTCAGTCCATTAAATCGCCTTGCAAAAAACAAAGAAAAAGGCGAAGAGTTGTGAAGAGCCACAATTCTCGTGTTCATGGCCAGCTGTGCCATAGGAACATGTAATGCCCAACTTTGTTTCTGGTCGTCGATTTCTTTTCTGATAATGCTACACGCCGTTTTGACGTGGTTCTCGGCAACACCATTGCCTCTGGGGTGATAAGGAGTGACCAACCGATGGTCCACACCTAAATTAGTAGTCATTACTTTAATTGCCCCATTGACAAATTCTCTGCCGTTGTCAGATTGTAGAATGGCGGGAAAACCGATCAAAGTAAATGTTTTGAACAACACCTTTGCGACGGTGAGTGCCTCCTTGTTCGGTATAGGTTCAAGGAACACAAATCTTGTACAAACATCGACTAAGATGAGAAGGAATCGATTACCTCCGCTATCCACAGGAAAAGGTCCGGCTAGATCAACAGCCATGTGTTCTCCTGGTAACTGAGCATGAACGGCCTTCATTGGGTGGTACCCTTTGCGAGCGATATTGTTTCGCTGGCATTGTTGGCAACGTTGAACGAACTCCAAACAATCCTTGGCTAGATTAGGCCAGGTCTTGTCCACTCCGTGAATGTGTTTTACCATGGCATTGGTCCCAAAGTGACCAAGTGCATGGGTGTCGGCTAGGATAGTTCTCCTTTCAGAGACCTTCACTGTTTGACGAGGAGTAGTTGAATCCTGGATCAAATGCATGTATCCATAAATCTTTGTCGGCGCTGAACCTTCTGTTCTTCCCGTCCACAACTCCGGCGGGAACTGGCGAGACAAAGCGTCTGGAAGCACATTAAGCACGCCAGGGCGATAAACAACCTTGAACGTGTATGACCAGATCAACTCCTGCCATCCGGTGAGCATTGAGTTCAAGTCCTTTTGCGTATGCATGTAGGTGAGAGCTCGATGATCCGTGAAGAGCGTGAAATGGTTGCCCCACAAATAATAATGTAGCTTCTTGAGGGCGAACACAATCCCGAGTAGCTCCTTTTGAGTAGCCGAATATCTCCTTTCCCGATCCTGTAACGATCGCGCTACAAAAGAGATATATTTAATATTCTCAGGTTCACCTTCGCCTCCCGGTAACTGATACAGAACCGCTCCGACACCAACATTTGATGCATCTGTGGCAACATAAAAGGGTAGGCCGAAATCCGGAAAAGAAAGTACTGGAGCTTGTGTGAGAATATTCTTTAATGAATTGAAGCACCGTAATTGAATGTCGTTTAATACGAAGGATCCAGGTACATTGCGTAGCGCGTCCAGCGGTGCCGCAACAGTGCTGATAAGAGGCATATACTCCCGAAAAAAGTTGAACGTGCCCATGTACGACTGAACCTGCTTTCCAGTGGTCGGCGGGCTCCAGTCCTGAATGTTCACCAACTTATTCGGGTCCACACGTCTGCCGGCGGTATTAATTACAAATCCAAGTAATGCTACCTGCGTGCTATAGAATCTACATTTCTCAATGTTGATAATTAGTTTGGCTTTGGTCAGACGTTCAATGACAACCATAACATGCGCAAGATGGTCCGCTCGATCCTTCGAAGCAATCAGAATGTCATCAATAAAATTGCGGACAAAATCCAAATCGCCGAGAATCCTTGACATTCCACGTTGGAACAGACTGGACAAGGGCTTCAAGCCGAAAGGGGCTTTCTTGAACATGTACTGTACTCCATTGTGCGTGAATGCTGTAAGCGGTCTGTCTTCCTTATGAATCGGAAGTCGATGATAAGCCTGACGCAAATCCACCGTCGAGAACACAGCATTGCCTCCTGCAAACTGCATGATCTCTGATATAAGAGGTACAGGAAAATTGTCATCAGGTAAGTGAGCATTGAGAGGGCGTGGGTCAAGACAAACACGATAAAGGGTTTTCTCACCATTTGCATCCTTCTTTGCTGCGAGCGTCAGAGTGTTGTTGTGACGATTACCAGCCGGTGCCAGTGTAATTACATCGTCCTGCAACCAGCGATCTACTGCGTCATCCAGAATGGGTCGTTGTGACTGAGCGAACACTCTTGAACGTCGATTCAAAGTAATGCCCTCCGGTACAGGTAAAAACACCTTCATCTCCGGAATTGGGCAAAAGCTGGTGGAAGGGATCCTTGCGTTCTCCTCCAGTAGCTCCTTGACGCACTCCATAAATGACTTCTTTTCCTCGATGTACTCCCGCGTCGTCTCCACAGGGGGTGTCATAAGAGGTATGAGAGTCGGCTTCTCGTCCTCAACAGGCATAGGTACTCGATCAGGAGACTCTACTGGGTCAGGTAAACCTATGATGTTGAAGCCATACCGATGAAAGAGATCCATACCAATGGTGATGGCGTGGGGTTGATCAATAACTTCGTATGGTGCGCAAAGCAAATTCTTTCCACAGATAACCTCCATGTTCTCTGTTTCGCCGATGCGTGCAATAGTCGATGTATCCGCTAACTCGATGTACCCTTTCATTTTATTGACTGGGATCGAATATTTGCTGACTATTCCTGAGCTGATGAACGAGTGAGTGGCTCCTGTGTCGATGAGCGCAAGGTGCTGATCTCCATGAATCCTGACGGGAATAAACAAACGATTGTCTGGTTGATTCTTGCGTCTGGCAGATCCATATGTCTTTTGCACAATTGCCGAAATCACCGTCACCAAATTCGAAAAGGTAACCATTGTACACAACGTCATCATTGGGTTATTTACCAAATGTGTACTATTTGAAAAAAGTCCATCTTTGTCATCCTCGACCTTGTACGCACCAAGAGCACAATCAACAACATCTTCCTTGATTACACCAACAGCACCATACTTGATCTTTTCCTTTCAATGCAGCCATGTCAGCATCAACTCTACTTTCCCATCCGTCAA